AGAGCACAATACACCACCACCATTTTCATTTTTGATCAAACTCCTACAAGAAAACTCTCAAGAACTCTTCCCTTTTCTCCAAATTTTCGAACATTGGTGTGTGTCTTCAAGGAGTTTTTCAAGTAATATCATCATTCTTGGTAAGTCTTCACTTGAATCCATGGCTTAACTTCTATACTTCATCAAAAATCTCATCTTAACTCATGCAAATTCATGATCATGCTTCTTAGAACCCATCTAAGCCCAAAGACCTCTCAAGAAGCTTGCTAGGGCCGAGAATCACCTCAACCTCTTCTAATTATTCTTCAAACCGAGAACAACTAAGCAAGGTGAGTTCATACCCCCTTGTTTTTGGTTTTTACATGATTTATGGGGGAGAATACAAGTAAAATGTGTAGATCCATGTGTTTTTGTATGATATGTGTGATTTCTTGAATTTATTTGATGAATATGTGTTAGAAACTTGATCTATTCGAGATTCTTAACCTTGTTAAGGAGATATGTGACCTAAGATATCTTATACATATTATTATCAAGGCAAAAGTATTATACAAGTCCAAACTAAGTAAAACAAAACACAAATTCTATTTATTAACCATTTTTGACAAATAAGCAAAAGATGGAGGAAATGATGTCATTTACGCTTTTTATAAGGATCAAAAGGGTCAAATCACTTAAAATATGAGTTATTATGAAAATCACGGTTTTAAAGGACTAAAAGTGTAAATTTTAGCCTAATGGGCTAAAGTTTGGGCTTTTCGGCTTTTAGGCCCAATTTGCGAAAAATATGAAACTTAAGGGACTGAATTTGCAAGTTTATCAAAATATGAGTTAAAAACACAAATAAACAGATTTTAGGGGCTGAAAATGTCTTTCTTACCAAATAGGACTAAAAATGCAAAGTTTTTGGATTTTGGGCTAAAATTGTAAAAATTGTGAAAATTTGGACTACAAGTGTAAATCTTTTTAATTAAAGGGCTGAAACTGTCCAAAACTTTGTTTTGGGCTGAAATCATGATTTAAATGAACTTTTGGGCCGAAAATGTCAAGAAACATAATCTAAGGACCTAAAATGTCATTTTTCATAAAGGGGTAAAAATTTGTCATTTTTACTAGAAAAGGGGCTGAATTGGTCAAACAATTATTTCTGGGTCAATTATGTCAATATTAAAATAATTGGGTCAAAAATACATAATTTTAATAACTTATGGATTTAAATAGAAAAATATATATTTTTTTATATAAATCTAAATATTATTATAAAACAATTTGGCGAACGTGGTGACTTTTCGATTAAACAATTCGTGTGAAACAAACCTTACAACATTAATACTATACAAAACAAGTAAACATTATATCGGTCGGGTTTTAATATTTTTAATCATGCTTATTGGGCCTTCGTGACTCATTAACATGACTATTGGGCCCAACATAAATAATACATGTTTATTGGGCTTCCGGTGGCCCAATTACATGCCTAATGGACCCTCAATGGCTTTAGATGGTATTGGGCCTTAGTGGCCCATTGGCATTGCTAGTATGGTCCAAATCAATTATATGCTTAACGGGCTAACGTGTCCGTCGCATACTTGACTGTCTGTAATAACATACATGAGTAGTGGGCCATAATTGTCCTCATTCATGTTTGTTAGGTTTTATTCATATCCATGTAAACATCAAACGGGTTGTAATCAATGTTATTCTAATTCATGGGGTAATAATAGGGATTTAGTGAGAATTAGCGGTTGGCACCAATAAGTGTCGGCCGTAGTCTGTAGTTATAACCAGAGTCTCCTGGAGGGAGGGCGAGAGTTTATGTATAGATCTATACGGGGGTGACTCCCCCACACCTGAGCTGTTCGCTACAGTTAGACTCGGCCAGTCTAGGGTGACAAAATCTTAATTCAATACCAGTATTCGCAAGAATGCCAAGGCAGGCGAAATAGTCATAATTATGCATGGTTATAACGACTCACATAGAGATCCATTACCATATCATCATTCATGGGAAATCATATTCATACACGGTGACGATGCAAAGTGGTTTATACAATAATACAAAACTACCATACTATTTAAATTGAAAAATATCGGGTTTTCCGTGGAACGACATTATTTACTTCTACATACAACAACTACAATAAAATGAACAATTACGAAAGCCATTCACTCTTACATGTTTTGAAATCACATACATATATACTTATGGGATCATCACATCTTTTTCGTAAACAGCTTTTGTTACAGAAAATATCGGATTTTCTGGGTTTTACAAACAATACAAACCATTTTATGTCAAACATGCTTATGAACTCACCAACATTATATATGTTGACCGTTTTCAAAATAACTTGTATTCTCAGGTAACAGATAAGCTGAAGAAAATTGTCAAGTGTGTTAGGATGTTATGTTTTGTGACTCTCAAACAATTTATGCTATGGATTATGTAATGTAAACAATGTACTGGATGTGAACAATGACGGTTGTAATGTATTAACGCATGGGGATGTTTATGTTATGTTTCATGTATATTCATTATGATGATATTTCAATTTAAGTCACACAAGCCCTCGGACGTTTCCGCCGTCTGATTCGGGGGTGTGACAGAAGTTGCTAGAGTCCTTTTACTAATCTATTTAGAAGGCTTATAAATATAGCCTTTATATATGGTTTTTCTAATTATTCTAAACTCTCTCATCACTGTCAAAAAATTTACAACCCTATAATCCTTTTTTCCTTCATTGATTTTCCTAATACAAGTTATTGCTTTTGTTTTTTCCCAAAAGTTTCCACCCAATTAACTATTATTGATCGTTTTGTTACTTTTTGTTTCAACCAGTCTCTAACAAGTGGTATGAAATCCATCTTTCTAGAACTTATAAATCCTAAGGTTGCGTTTAGTTACGAAAAAACAATTTTCATTTTCTGTTTTTCGTTTTCCCTTTTCAGTTTTCGTTTTCCGTTTTCGGTTTTCATTGGAAAATTTAGAAAACGCGTTTAGTTAAAACTTATTCATTTTCATTTTCAGCTTTAGAAAATTAGAAAACGTGTTTAGATGTATATTTTTTTATCGGTTTTTATTTTAAGAAAACGGTAGCGGTGGTAGGGAGGATGTGGGGACGGTGGCGGTGGTGGGGGCAGCGGCGGGGGGCAGTGGTGGCAGTGGGGTGGCGGCGACGGTGTTGGGGTGGCGGTGGCAACGGGGTGGCGGCGGCAATTGTGGCAGTGGTGGTGATGGCGACAGTGGTGGTGCTGGAGATGGGGTAGTGGTGGTGGTGATGCTGATGGTAGGTCGGTGATTGTGGTAGTGGTGTTGGGTCTGTGTGTGTGTGTGTGGGTGTGGGTGGGGTGGGGGTGAGTTTGTGGGGGTTGGTGTGTGTCTGTATGTTTGTGGGTGTGTGTGTTTGTGGGGGAGTGGGTGGGGGTGGGTTTGTGTTTGTGGGGGTGGGTGTGTGTGTGTGTTTGTGGGGGTTGGTGTGTGTCTGTGTGTTTTATAGGCGTATGTGTTTGTGGGGGTGTGGGTGGGTGTGTGTGTGTTTGTGGGGGTTGGTGTGTGTCTGTGTGTGTTTGTGGGTGTGTGTGTGTTTGTGGGGGTGTGGGTGTGTGTGTGTTTGTAGGGGTGGGGTGGGCTTGGGAGTGAGTGTAGGTAGGTAGGGGTGTGGTGGGTTGGGGGTGTTAAGGTGAGGGTAGGTAGAGGTGGATGGGGTGGGAGTGGGTATTTATATTTTAGAAAAATTTTGGAATTAGAAAAATGTGGAAAACAATGATTATCAGTTTTCCAAAAATTTTCAACTTCTTTGTAATTTTAGAAAACGGAAAATTTTCATTTTCCGTGAAAAATTTAGAAAAATAGACGAACTAAACGCGTTTTCCAAATTTTCATTTTTTTTGGAAATTTTTTTCCGGAAAACGGCCCATTTTTCCGCAACTAAACGCACCCTAATCGGCTTATATAAAAATCTTCCTAACCCTCCCTCCTTGATAGAATTTTCCTTGACCTCTTAAGGTTCCAAGTCTATCTAAGAGCATCTATAATGCATAATTCAATGGGAGAATTGAGTAAACTTAATCATTGTGAGATGTTATGTTGGCGTTAAACGAATTTGGAGTTCAATTACAAAAAATGAAACCTTTTAATTATTAAATATGTCATAAATTAGATTTTAGAATAGATGTTATGTGGCAATCATTAACCTTTAATGAATTCATTGCATTGTTGATGCCCTAAGAGTATTAATAATGGAGAGTTCAATCGTAGAGTTGAATGAAATGTCAAATCTAGTTGTCATTCAATGGGTGTGTAATATGCCACATTTGACATGAATTTGGAGTTTAAAAAAATCTAATTCTTAAATTATATTTAAATATATTTTATTCAACTTTATAACTTTATAGAGTTTGTAGGAAAAAAAATTGACAAAATTATATGTAATATAGAATGATAATATGACAATCTCTTTAACTCTAAAGTTCAATGCATTGTGGATTGAATATGTTTTAATGATTAAGATATTTCAATATTACTACCTATATATTAACATTAACCCTTGAAACATCGTATGATAACCTTAAACCTTGTATTACAATCAAAATTTAGAAAAAAAACCAAGGTATTTTGTAAGTCAATTCATAACCAGATATGAACACTCATAGCTATTAACTTATAAATATTATGATTATAGAATCTTATTATGCTCGTTTTTGTGTTTTTTCATTAAACTTGAGAGTTAGACTCTCCACAAAAGCATCTTATGGGAAGGGTTGACAATCTCACATTCATAGATTGACCAGGTCTGTAACCATTTCGATTCCCCAATCCTTTTTTATTGCCATTCGGAAAGAGGTGACTTTGACTTTTTATTAGTCCACTAAACCCACTACGGTTACCTTGTTCATTAATGCATTAAACTATTGATGAAGCTTTTCAACTTTGCACACATAGTCTTATTCACATCCATTTTATCCCATTGCACACAAACACCCACACAGAAAAGAAAGAGATGGATACTGCATACAAGCATTTCAGCCATGCACACAACCTCGTCATCCACCAAGCACATGAAGCTGAGAAGATGTCATGCTCCGGCTGCAATTCTCTGGTCATGGGGACTATATACGTTTGTTGGCAGTGCAAATTTGTGTTACACGAGCAATGCTTTCGTGCAACCCGATCACTAAAACATCCATCACACCCTTCTCATCCTCTTACTTTAGTTCCTTATCCAACTTATCCCTCTAATTCCTTTTACTGCAATTCCTGTAAACACACTGGAAATGGATTATCCTATTCATGTTCTGATTGTGAATTTGACCTTCATATCCATTGTGCTCAATCTGTTTCCTATGTTTATGCTCCTAATAGTGTTCCTAACCCAATTACTAATATCCAATATTCTTCGTTGGCTTCTAATATGCCAGAGGGAATACTATCTGCTTCTGATATTGAACATATCAAAAGAAACCAGGAGAGGCTCGAGATTGCAACGGAGGAGTATAGAATAGCTGCTCTTAGACGTAAATATATTTTAGACAGCATATAGTACTTCTTGCCGAGGGTTACTGAATTCTGATTTCCAGAGGAGACTGGTTGTGCTATATATCTCAATTGTTACCATATATCTCATAATGAGAGTAATTTTCTTTAAGATCATTCTGAGTGATATTGTCGGCTAATTGTGGCGTTGCTTATTTATCCATTTCATGGTTTTTTCTTCCGTTTCCATTTGTGAGTCTAAGTTTGGGGTTTCCCTAGTTGGGTTACATTTCTATGGATGTTATTTATTCGTAGTTACCGTTATTTACAGTTATATTATTTTTGATCGATCTCTTCGTAAAATGACATATTTAATAACTTTCTCAAATACTACATATCTACAATAAATAAAACGCTTTAGGTACAAGAGCATTAAACCAGCATATATTATACCGCTCCATGAAAAATTGAAAATTATAAAGGTCTATAGACCCAAGAACCATTCCATATATATTTTTTTTTTACCGTAAAGTAGAAAATAGGTTTTTACCATTTTGGCATTGACCGCTTCGTCTACGGTTTGTTGAAATGAAAAGACTCATTATTAACAAGTAACCAAAGAACCAATTGTGAGCGCTGAAAAGCATAATGATCAACGACAAAATGAATGGATATACATTTGTACATTGGACACACATATACCATAAAACTCGTCTTTTTTTTTCGTTTAATTTTTTTTAAGCCACGTTTTTTATTGAAAAAAAACTGAATGTACCGTTGTTCACGATTTTTTGTCATCTTTCCATAGACATCCATATTGATAAATAAATAAATAAACATTTTTTTTTCGAAAAAACCCACTTTGTTTTTTTGTTTTTTTAATATTTAAGTCTATTTGTATCCAAAAAAATTAATTATACCAGAAATGTCCATTTTTTTGTCATCTATTAACAATGTTTTAAAACCGGTTTTTTAGTTGAACTGGTATGGTGACCGGTTCCTGGTTTAACCGATTCGACCGCCGGGTGAACCGGTTTCTATATTTTTCATAATTTTAACTTTTTTTTTTCTATTTTCCTACACATACATACATATATAAATCATTAATTTAGTGTTTACAAGTTCAAATATTAAAAATACACATAAAAATAAATTGTAGATGAATCCAAATACACTAAAATAACACATAATCATAAGTTTTAGTGTTTTATATTAATCTATATACGTTAAAAAGAAAAATAAAGTATAATACCGAAACAAAATATAGTTTTAGATCAATATAAACAAATAAAAAAACTTTATAACATGTGTCATATGTTTTTATTTAGAGAAAACTAAATAGATTTGAAAAAAATCACCAAAATTTATTATGTAAATGATTCTTTTTCATTGTTTTGATTCGGTTTAACCGGTTCAACCGGTTTATTTTGACCGGTTCAACCGGGTTTTTCTAAAAACCGGCCGGTTCAATCCGGTTCAGAAATCAATGTAAAACCGGTGATAGTTGAACCGCTCCCTCCTCCGATTCCCGCTCCAACCGGTTTTTAAAACACTGTCTATTAATAAACATCATCACCGAATAAAAAAAAAAAAAAAAAAAAAAAACTCGATCTGTTCAGATTCACACTGTAAATCTCAACTATAAATATTTCAATTTTAACATTCACGGTGTGAATTTTACTTACTATTTCAACTCTTTCATCATTCACAAATTAAATGAAATTTACATATAAATCGAAATATATTTCCATATAGTTTTATAATATTTTAACATTTTGATTACTTGCAAATTAGTTTTGTAAAATCAACAAATAGATTTATTCAATTGTGAATCTGGACTGTATATAACTTAGTTTTCAAAATTCATAATGTGAATTTGACTTACTATTATTCACATTGTAAAGCTGAGCAGATTCACAATGTGAATCTGAAATCTGAACTGAAATTTCAATTTTTTTTTAAACATCAATGTAAATATATGTTTAAAGAGTACCAACAAATATGAATTTTGATATATTTATTAACTTTTTTCGATAAAAAATAGACCTTAACTTTTCAAAAAACAAAGAAAATGAAGAGAGTTGTTTTGAACAAAAAAGTTCATTTTTTATATATCAATATGGATCTCTATGGAAAGATAAGGAAAAATCATGAACAATTATATTCAGATTTTTTCGATAAAAAACATGGCTTAAAAAAATTAAACTAAAAAAAAATGATGTGAGTTTTGTTATAATCCAGTGCATGTGTGTCCATTGTAATAGTCTACGACCATTCATTTTGTCGTTGATCGCTTTAGTAAAAATCATATGTATATTAAATGATATCCATACTTATAATTTCTTTTTATGGAAACTAATTAAATTCGTCATTAATGTCAACAATAATATTCTTTCAGAATGAAATTGCATCTAGAAGAATGATAGTGTATTCTAACAGAATGAGAGCATGCATATTCTACTTGAATACACTATCGTTTTTCATATTTAATGCAACTTTATTGTATTTTAAGTGAGTGAGTCTTGAAACAATAAACGAACTCATACATAAAAACCTAGATGCTAATTTATTCTGAAAGATTGTTATTGTTGACATTAATGACGAATTTAATTAGTTTCCATAAAAAAAGAATAATAATTATAGATATCATTTAATATACATACAATTATGGAAATCATTTAATATCTATATTTAATTAATTAATTAATTATTTAATTTTACTAAATTCCTATTGGTGCATTGTAGAACACAATAAATATAAGAAACACATTAACCTAGCCCTATATATATATATATATATATATATATATATATATATATATATATATATATATATATATATATATATATATATATATATATATATATAGGGAAAAGGAAATATACATTACAGCCCCACCTAAGCTTAGGTACTAAACCTTTTGAAAATACATTGTTTTACTATATAAAGATTACGGTTAATGGATTCATGATTAATAATTCAAGATGTAAATTCAAGATCGACACAATAGGGTTTAGGGTTTAGGGTTTAGGTTTAGGGTTTAGGGTTTAGATTTAGGGTTTAGGATTTAGGGTTTAGGTTTAGGGTTTAGTAATGTTCACTTGGGTGAAGTAATAAACCATAATTGAGGAAAGAAAACAGAGTTGGTAAAACGATAATGAAAGAAAGAAATGTTATGGAGGATGATATATTTACCAAGTGAAACCAAACCGGGTATATTTAGCATGTTAAAACGACATATTTTAGAGGTTTAGTACCTAAGGTTAGGTGAGGCTGTAATGTGTATATTCCCTATCCTCATATATATATATAGAGATATATAGATATATATATACATATATATATATATACATATATATATATATACATATATATATATATATCTATATATATATATATATATATCTCTATATATATATATATATATATATCTATATATATATATATATATATATATATATAGAGAGAGAGAGAGAGAGAGAGAGAGAGGAGAGAGAGAGAGAGGAGGGTTCAATTGAGAAAAAAAAAGGTTGAGAATGGGGGAATCATTCTCAGCCACTCATTTATTTTTGCCGCAAAAGCCTTCGTCGTACCAGCGGAAATGGGAAAGGAATAGACATGTGTTTTCCAACAAAACATGTTTCCTTAAACTATGCTAAGCATTACCTTAATATATACAAAAACATAGTTTTTTCGTTTTTTTTAATTTTTAAGAAGCTATTTTTATCGAAAAATGATTTTAAATATACTAAAATTCATGATTTTTTATTCTCTACAAATAGACATCCATATTGATATAGTTTTAAGATAAAATAAAAAATTTATTTTTTTTATATTTTCAGTTATCGTTATTCATAAGTGAATAAAAATGAATCAGATTTTTACTACAATACATTCGTTATTCACTTATGAATAAAAACTATGATTAATTTTTTTACAATTTAAGTATCATTCATATATGAATATAGCATATAATAAACATAGTATATTCATATTTAAATATTAGACGATGCATTCACTTGTGAATATTACGTAGTTTATTCACTTGTGAATATTAGATGATATATTCACTTATGAATATTAGATAATATTTTCATATCTGAATATTACGTAGTATTACATGGTATATCACATGTGAATATTACATAGTATATTCACTTGTGAATATTAGATGATATATTCACTTATGAATATTAGATGATATATTCACTTATGAATATTACACAGTATATTCACATATGAATATTACAAGGTATTTTCACAAATATATATAATTTTTATATATTATTCACATATGAATAACATACAGACTTGCATATTTGTTTTTTTGTTTTAATAATCATATACTGATTCAGGTGAGAAAACATATTCATATATGAATATAACGTGGTAATTTAGTTTATGCATTTCATCAAACAGTTGAAGTGCATACAATTTAACTTTTTTAAAAATGTTAAAAACATGATACTTTGACTATTTAAATCTTACAAAATAGTAGATTGATAGAGAATTATATGAAATTTTTCAAAAAAAAAAAAACGATTTGATCTTTTTCGAACCTCGATTTTGAAGTTTTATTTGATAATCGATGTTGAATGAATGATATGAAGTGAATTTTTTGTTGATTATCGATGATGTTGATCTAATGACGTTGAGAGTATAATTAATCGTAGATGTTGAAGATCTGATCGTATTCATGTAGAAGTGAAGGTTGGATTAAAAGAACCAAAAATGAATTTTTGTTGTTAACTGTTGAAGCGTGTTGATAAACATGTTATTGACGAAGATCGATGATTGATTAGCACTGGATGATGTTGATGATGATTTAATTGAAGAAATCTGGATGATTGTTGAAGGTTGAAGAAGAAATTTGGATGATGAACGATGAATGGGTTTGAACTGTAATCTAATTCTCTACAGATACGTATTTGAGATTGAAAGTTGTTATCATATTTACAAGTTTGCCACCGTGTCTTTTTATGCTTAGATTAAATGAGTGGCTGAGAATGATTCTCTCATTCTCAACATTTTTTATTTTCTCAATTGAACCACCTCTATAAACATACATACAAGTTACATTATTAGAAAGAGAATTGATTTTGATAGCAATGACCTGACCTAGCCGTTGGCTCGTGATGACCGAGTGGGATCCCAAACCATTCGGTTTTCATTATTTTATTTATGTTTTTATCTTTTTTATTTATCTTTTATGTTGTTTTGAAAAGATTAGATTTATCCTTTTGTTAGTTTGTTTCCTAGTTTTTTAGGTTTTAGCCTTTTTTGTTTGGGACGTATTGAGGGAAGCTTTAGACTTTGATTGATTAATAAAATGTGTGTTTGTGGAAATCCTATGTTGTTTTCTGTTCCAGCTTTCGGGTGACATAGAATCGGCATTATCAGAGCTCAGATGACGATGGCTCACAATGGATGAGGAAATCGACAATGATGTAGAGACGCCGACAGAGGCAACGATGAGTATGTACGGGATCCCCATGACGTTGCAACGATCACTAGGTTACAACAACGAGTTCGAGATTTGGAATTGCAACATGAAGAACATGGGGAGGAAATGAAGACAGCCACCAGAATCTGGGATGACGGTGCCGGTTTTGGCAACCCCTTCGGCAATAGACGTCCATGACGTGAGACACAGGCAGCAGACCCAATTCGTAATCTTGGAGTCAAGATCGAAATCCCTGGTTTCGATGGGAAGGCTCAAGTTGATGAATTTATCGATTGGCTTAGAACGGTTGAATGTGTTTTTCAATTAAGAGTTATTCCAACAATTTAAAGGTAAAACTCGTTGCCCTTAAACTTCGAAAATATGCTTCATTATGGTGGGATCATGTCAAGAAAAAAAGGGTTCAAGAAGAGAAATCGAAAGTTGAGACCTGGTTGAAAATGAGGAAACTGTTATGTGAAAAGTTTTTCCCATAAATCATCGACAAGACTTTATCAATGAGATTGACAAGTTACGAATGCTGTGTGGAGCCGAAGAACCAGAAGAACAAGTTATAGCCCGTTTTCTAGAATTACAACCATATTGGACTTTTATAGATGTGTGTGGACTTGCCTTGAAGGTCGAGAAGCAAAACAAAATCAGAAGCAGGGGAACTCCCTCCAAATTCAGCAGCACCACCAAGACCGAAACCTTTTGATCCCCTACCAACTTTTCAACAGGAACCGGAAGTAAAATTGGCCCAATCAAAGCCAAGACTTCTCGGGGAAATACACCAGCCACCACGACAACTCGGTTGAACCGATGTTTTAAATGCCACGGAATATGACATTTTACAAGAGATTGTCTAAATCAACAGCTTGTCACCCTTACTGATGACATACCTGTCGAGGAAACTCATCCTATATATGATACCAATGATGATGCTGAAATTGAAGACAGTGAAGTTATTTACCCGGATAAAGGTAAGGCCTTAATAACTCAAAGAGTCTTAAGCACTTCATCAACACCATCTGTTGACAACACCTTGTGGCTCCGTAACAACATGAAACATGGTGGCTACAAGCATGGTTGAGAAGTTGGCATTAAAAATGGAACCTCATCCCGAACCATACCAGTTAACTTGGCTTAAAAAGGGGAACGTTGTTAAAGTTAACCATTGATGCCTTGTATAGTTCTCTGTCGGCAACAAATACTCAGATGAAGTATGGTGTGAAGTGATTCCCATTGATGCATGTCATGTGTTGTTGGGATGACCTTGGCAATACGACCGACAAACGAAGCATGATGGGTTTAAAAACACCTATTCTTTTCACAATGATGGTGTTAATATCACCTCAGCACCTCTCGAACACGTGAAACGGGAACCGAGGCACTAGTTCTTAGAAAATTAGCATTTATGGACTTTAATCGACACTTCACTCCACTATTGATGTATGCTCTTGTCGTGACTGAAAAGAACAAGAAACATGTCACGACACCAAGTCTGGTCAAACCGTTACTCAAGGAATTCAAAGATGTCTTCCCGGACTAAATACCCGTGGAGCTACCACTGATGCAAGATGTCCAACATTGCATTGATTTCCTACCAGGCTCGGTGATCCCAAACAAACCCGCGTACCGGATGAATCCTAAGGAATTTGAAGAGCTCCACAGACAAGTAACCAAGCTGTTAAACAAATGCCTCATCAGGTCTGTTAAACAAATCGACGGTATTTTGTAAGTCAATTCATAACCAGATATGAACACTCATACTTATTAACTTTAAATATTATGATTAAAGAATCTTATTATGCTCATTTTTATGTTTGTTCATTAAACTTGAGAGTTAAGACTCTCCACAAAAGCATCTTATGGGAAGGGTTGACAATCTCGCGTTCATAGATTGACCAGGTCTGTAACCATTTCGATTCCCCAATCCTTTTAGTATTGCCATTCGGAAAGAGGTGACTTTGACGACTTTTTATTAGTCCACTCAACCCACTACGGTTACCTTATTCATTAATGCATTAAACTATTGATGAAGCTTTTCAACTTTGCACACATAGTCTTATTCACATCCATTTTATCCCATTGCACACAAACACCCACACAGAAAAGAAAGAGATGGATACTGGATACAAGCATTTCAGCCATGCACACAACCTCGTCATCCACCAAGCACATGAAGCTGAGAAGATGTCATGCTCCGGCTGCAACTCTCTGGTCATGGGGACTATATACATTTGTTGGCAGTGCAAATTTGTGTTACACGAGCAATGCTTTCGGGCAACCCGGTCACTAAAACACCCATCACACCCTTCTCATCCTCTTACTTTAGTTCCTTATCCAACTTATCCCTCCAATTCCTTTTACTGCAATTCCTGTAAACACACTGGAAATGGATTATCCTATTCATGTTCTGATTGCGAGTTTGACCTTCATGTGCATTGTGCTCAATCTAATTCCCATACTCCCATGATGATTCTCCTAAATCAAACTCATGGTCAAGGAGTAGTTCCACATCATGGCCACAATTCTTACGTACCACAAAATGTTTATGCTCCTACTAGTGTACTTCATAATCCAATTACTAATATCCAATATTCTTCAGTTGCCTCTAATATGCCAGAGGGAGTACTATCTGCTTCTGATCTTGAACATATCAAAAGAAACCAGCAAAGGCTCGAGATTGCAAGGGAGGAGTCTAGAATAGCTGCTCTTGGACGTAAATATATCTTAGACAGCATATAGAACTTCTTGCCGAGTGTTACTAAATTATAATTTCCAGAGGAGACTGGTTGTACTATATATCTCAATTGTTACCATATATCTCATAATTTGAGAGTAATTCTCTTTAAGGTCATTCTGAGTGATGTTGTCAGCTAATTGTGTCTGTTGCTTATTTATCCATTTCATGGCTTTTTCATCCGTTTCCGTTTGTGAGTTTGGGGTTTCCCTAATTGGTTACATTTCTATGGATGTTATTTATTCGTTGTTATCGTTATTTACAGTTATATTCTTTTTGATCGATCTCTTTGTAAAATGAAATATTTCATAACTTTCTCAAATACTCTATTACACATCTACAATAAATAAAACTCTTTAGGTACAAAAGCATTAAACCAGCATCCATTATAGGGCTCCATGAAAATTGTAAAGGTCTATAGCGGAGCCTGACCTTAAGGTTTATGGGTCCATTTTATTAATTAATATAAAAAAATTGAAAAAATAATACTAACTAACCCTTTAAACTAACCCATTAAACTGTTGCTGTTTATGGCAAAGAAAGTAGGGTGAATTTGGATAGAAAGCTTGAGTAGTGGGTGCCAAATGAAGAACTCTCTAATTAAAAAAAATAACTTATGTATATGTGTTATGTGTATATTTCAATTTTCAAGTACCCCTCTACCATTGTCCCAAGTAGACCTGGCAATCCGTGTCTGCGTGTCGTGTATTCGTGTCGGACACGAATTTACACGACACAAATTTGCTAAACACGAACACGACACGAATTATAAAACGTGTTTGGGGTATCAAACACGAACACGACACGTAAAAAATTGTGTGACACGTGACATGACACGAATAGACACGTTTTTTAGCCGTGTTACACGAAAAAACACGAATAGACACGTTTTTAATGGCTTTTTTTAAGCTATGACTATAAACTAGTTATTGAATTTTACAAATTTGGTCCATAATATATTATAAATACAAAATTTAACCCTAAAGTATATATGTGTTTATACGTGTCACGTGTCAACACGAATTTGTATCGTGTCTTATACGTGTCTAAACATGTAAATTCGTGTTTGACACGTGTAAGACACGAAACACGAATTTAAAATACGTGTCAGACACGATAAACACGAAACACGAATTTATAAAACACATACACGGAAAACTCGTATCGTGTTCGTGTCGTGTTAATCGTGTCGTGTATGAAATTGCCAGGTCTTGTCCCAAGACCCGCTCCATATATTTTTTACCGTAAAGTAGAAAATAGGTTTTTACCATTTTGGTCGAGGTTTGTTGAAATGAAGAGACCCAACTATATAATCTAATTTTTCATTTTACTTCCCTCCTATTATACAATACTTTCACATTATATTCTTTATTATAATTCTTTAAAAACACAAAACAAAAATTGATATATATATATATATATATATATATATATATATATATATAGGTTCAGGTATTATAACTAATTATTGTGTGGTTGTATGCATAATTGTGGGGCAATCATTTCAAAAACCTAGATAGGGGTAAAATTGTAATCTTACCTATTAAATAATTTTGGTAATTCAATAATTAAATTATTATTTCCTTTAATTTTAGGAAAATTAATTTAAAACCCTACCGTAGACGTCGACCTTTAAACTGCAACCGGTTTTGGTGGGTGCGGCTTCAATAGAGAACAACGAGGAGGAAGGGACGAAAGGTGAAGCTGTGATCGAGGAACTTTACTAATCTAGAGAAGGAGAGGTCAATCTAGAGGTGTTTGGCTTGTAGTTGCGGTTCCAAGGTAATGGTTCTCCTCATTCATTCTCCTCTTTTTTTTTTGGTCCTCGTCTTCAAATCACCATCACCGCCGGCTGCCATGGCCGCCGGCCATTGCTGCCATCGTCGACTACCTGCCACCTTGCTGTGGTGGCAGTGGGTGTGTCTCGGAGGCATAGTCGTCGACTCTCACGGCCGATTGTTCTGGATTGAATCACGACATTCTGAATCAGGGTAAGATGCTTAAGCATCTATGTCAAACCCTAAAATCATCACCCAGAAATATGTCTGTCTTAACTTTGCCCGTGATCGGCCCGATCTCATGAGGTATATAACATTGTTCTTCATTGGGTTTCTAATTTACGATGCTTCTGAGCTGACCACCTGTTTGACAATAATCCTCTGTGAAACTTCTCCACCTCTTAAATGATAATATCGTTTTCAAATTTCTCCATTACTTATCAGGAGACAATCAGGATCAGGTTGAGTTAAAAAGGGGAGATTGGTTATGTAAAAGGTATACTAAATGTTGTAATATGTTTCAGCGTTACTATTTATATTCAGAGGTATATCTTGATTTATAATTTTCCTGCCAAACAAAACTTTGATCAATTGCAGATGGACCTCTAGTGAGCTATGCAGATGGAGTTTATGATACATGACTTAATCGATACATCACTGTTAGATGATGGTGAGGGATGAGGCGTAGATATACTGTTAGGTCGATCATTTAACCCTAGGATTATTGCTTGAAATTGTCATGGAAAGAAGAAGATTAAGCAATAAAAATGAGTGGTTGTATTTCTCATTTGCAGGTACACATGAAATCAAGAACAAGAATGTTCTTGTTTTCTTGGCCGGGAACGAAACGAGAGATATCAAAGCAAAACAGGGTACAAATGAAACTTACAACATTCTACTGGAATGGAATCTTGAATTCCGATTCTGTCAGAATAGAATCTTGAAGATGAACATTGTATGGGATGAAGATGAACAATGACCATCAATCTTCCAAAAAGAATGGATTATTCCAACAGAATAATATACAATATAATGAAAAAAATATATGTAATAGTATATTCTGGTAGAATAATTTATATATTGTATTTCTTTGTTATTAATAAGTGTAACATTATCATAGAATAGTATATAAATTTTTTTCTTTTCTAAGAATGTAATGAAATTTTTTTTAACTTGTATCCAAAATTTTGTTATTCTTCAAGAAGTTCATTAAATCAAAATATATATTATGTCAGGATGTGTATTCTTGTATGGTTCAATATATTGATAAACATATTCCGTCAGAATGTTACGAATTAGGAGAATTATCATCCATACAATCAGATTTTTAAAATTAATAGAATCTATTTTCCCTTAAAATATGCAATTTTCCTTAAAATATGCAAATTTCCTTTATTAAATCTATATTAATTGACTAAAATACCCTTCTAGTTAGAATAGATGGTATTTTTGAATTATCTTTAATTCAATAATATGTAATAATCACTTACTTAAAATAAGTAAAATTGATTGGCCCACATTTATGCATACAATAACACAATAATTACTTTGAATATAATAACCTAAACCTATATATATATATATATATATATATATATATATATATATATATATATATATATATTAAGGTTCAAATGAGAACAATTATTAAATCGAGAACACGAGAACAAATCTAGGCCACATATTTTTTTTGCCGCAAAACTCTTCCACGTATCGACGCGATAAAGGAATGTAAATATATTTATATATGAATAATCACTTGATAATAGACACATATTTAATCATATATGAATATACTTATTTATGTATAAACTAGGTGTGAGACCCGTGTACTACATGAGTTTATCAAAAATAAAAATTTAATATCAATAATTAAACATTAAATATTTTATAAAATAATATTTTTACATAACATAATGTAATCTTTTGGAACATTTATAAAATAAATCAAATATTCTTTAGAACATTTATGAGACTTTATTATCAAATTAATAGAATGATTCTCTTTCCTTATAAAACATTGTGGAATTTTATTTTTAAAAAAATGGAAATTCCCAAAAAATGATAAGTGGAAAATAATACTTCTAAAACTCCCATAAAATTACATGTGACAAAACTCTTGAGAATTTGACAAGTGGCAAAAAAAACCTTCATTTATTAAAGAGGATATATGTCATCGTCACCGACACCTCTATCGGTACACTCGGGGGTTTTGCAGCACAAATAAATATATGGCCCAGATTTGTTCTCGCGTTCTCATTTATATAATTGTCCTCTCTCTCTCTCTCTCTATATATATATATATATATATATATATATATATATATATATACACCTTTATTAAATATATTTTGACAAACACTTTTTTAACATAAGTTTTATTTTTTTAGTTTTATAGAAGTGAAAATCATATATATCATTACATATTTTTAGTTGATAATTTGTTTTTTTTATTGTTTAATGATTAACATCAATCATTAAAAAAATTAGGGAATGAAGATTACGGTGGTTTGGTCAGGTATACAGGAGACAACCGATTGCTACTATTAGGAGTAGTATATGGTACAAGGAGGAAATGTCGACAGAAAAGTAAATGGGAAGATATTGTTAGGTTAGACTTGAAAAAGTTAGCATTTACCGAGGACATGACTTCAAAGAGTTAGCACTTACCAATGACATGTCTTTAGATAGGCGAGTAAAGAGGCTTGAATTAGGGTAACATAGTAGTATTGACTTAGTCTAGGGTCTAGATACATCCTCTTTGTTTGTGATTGTCTTGCAGTTCCTTCATATTTACTCTTTCTTACTATCTACTATTTGTTTACTTAGGGTATTTGTTTCAACTATTGTATTTTCGTTAGGTATGACTACAAAACTTTATTATCTTTATATTCTTATTTGTATATGTACTTGATAAATTTTATTTTGTTGGAGGTCCTTACGGAAGCAATTTTCCAACCTTACGGTTGGGTCTGTTGACCATCCTACTTCCCCCTTACCTCATTTGTATAGGACTCGGGTATGTATGTATGTATGTACGTACGTACGTACGTATGTATGTATGTATGTATGTATGTATGTATGTATGTATGTATATAAAATTAATGAATAAAATGATAGGACCTATTAATAAACATTTAAAAAGTTTATGAATAATGAAGATATATTTCTAAAGTGTAAGGGTTTATATTTTTATAGTGTATAACATCATTTATTAAAATAGACCG